GCCCCTGCCCCAACATCAGTCATGGCCTGTCCGCTTGGCCATGTGCGGGTTGTGAAACCCACCTAACACCGGATGGGTTGGAGGATCCTTCTGCCGCCATCACCCATCTCTTTTGTCACACCAGAATGGGTCTCAGAAAGTTTGCTCCTCATCGTTGTAGAAAGCCCTGAAGCCATTTCCAGAGCGGAGATCTTCAGGGCTGCTACAAGTCACAGTGCTGTGGATCCCAAGTTCCTGTTTCACTGTAGCAACTAAGCAGGCTTTCAGCTCAGCCACAGGCAGTGCTAACAGGAGTTCAGACACACGCAGGCAGAGTTTCACAGAGTACAAATCCACTGCTGTACAGCTCTTACACAGCACCGGTCCCATAAAGACAACTCGCAAATTTATTTATGCAAACACTGAAGCTTTGTTACTCTCTGCAAGGGAAACTGATGCCTGTGACTGAAAAAGCCATTACCACAAAGGTCTTAAATTAGGAAAGGAGAATTCGATTCTCACTTCTCTCTGCCACAGAGTTTTGGTGTGACGTTAGATTGCTCAGCCTTTCCCATCAACAGAACAGCAGATAAAAGCAGCTTCTTGGCGAAGCAGATTGCAAACTCTTTGGGACGGAGACTTTGCTTTTAGCTGTAGTGAGAACCTGTCACAGTTGGGCCCTATACTTGGCTGTGAAACACAGACACTAAGGGAATTCAAAAATAATGCAAAAAACTGCTTGGAAAAAATCAGGATTGTGTTGAACTCATACTGGTTCTAAGAACTACTATATATTTACAAAATTCAGAGTTTTACTCTAGGAGTGCCCTGTTTTTGACATGTTACGAGATCATGACCACCACCATTTATTTTACAGCTCAGCCTTGGACCAGATAAAATGATAATAGACCTCACAGATCCAAATCGTCCCCGGTTCACATTACAGGAGCTGCGAGATGTATTGCAAGAGCGTAACCAGCTGAAAGCTCAGCTTCTTGTGGTGCAAGAGGAGCTACAGTGCTATAAGAGGTATATCATGAAGTCAGCAAAGAACTAATAATAATTACTTCTTGTCTGAGCTTACCGGATCAGAGTATTGCAGATTTGAGCACCTAGATTGGGCTAGGCACTGTCCAGACATAGAAGAGACATCTGTGCTCCCAAGAGCCTACAAATGAGCAAAAAAAGAATGGGGGAATGAAGTCTCTATGCGACATAATTTTAAAACTAAAGTCCCTCTTATTCTGCACAGTTTGCAGCCTACTTCCATAATTGTACTGCTGTAAACCTACATATGGTTACTCCCACTCCACATCCAAGCTAGATTCTCACACACATGAACTCATTCATGCAGCTGCAGCAGTTGCACGCGTACTGTTCTTGTCTAAAGCCACGCTACATACCAAAGAGCACGGGGGTTTCCATCTCAGCCTTGGTCAAAATTTCCTTCCTCTTCCAGCTTGCTGTTGGGGACACTAGCTTATCTCCTGTTCCTTTGCTCCCACAGGGGGTATGGCATTGATCTAGAAAGGAGAATATTAAGCCCTTTCATCATCATTCAAGATAAGCTGTGGGGTTTTTTTTAAGACTGCCAACGCGGAGTTGCATAAGGCACTTGAACTGTGCAAAACAAGTGCTTTCAGAGAGGGATTTTGGTCTTTCTAAAAGGGACCAGCCTGGGAGAATTGGTGTGAGCCAAAGGGTGGGACACGGGAAGGGCCTTGCTCTTGGTGCTACAAATTTCTTCAGCTCCAAGGCTGCTCTGCCCCAACCTCGGCCTCTCATCATCAGGTTGTATTATAAACTCTTTGGGGCAAGAAACTACTTCTTAATCTAGACACAAAACCTCTCAGCACATTAGATTTCAGTTGAGGTATCTCAGGAACAACCTCTTAGATACAGTAAGCCCACCCTTTGCCTTGTCTGCAACAGCGAGGTTAAGCCAAGAAGTTAAAGTTAAACCAAGAAGTCAGTTTACAAACTGCTCAGCACCACTTTCCCCAGCTCAGCTGCCTGTCTTTGCTGTTGGGCCATTGGAATGGTTTCTTGCTTTGATTTCCCAGCTGTGTGACACAGGCCAAGTTAAAAATTAACAGTGAGAATGTTTTCAGTTTTTGAGTGATTTAAGTCATGGTGCTGTGTACCTAGAGAGTGTGGCACGGCTGCTTTTCAGTTCAAGTAATTCTATGTGGCTGTCGTCTCATACAGCGTTACAGCTTAAGCCAAAAACCATCTTCCCTTTAAACATTCACATAAAATCCTAATTATAATTGCATGGCCATAGAGAGTAGTTGTGCAGGGGAAGAGGATAGATCTATGTTCTAAAATGTCTTGTGTATATTGGAAATAAGCTCTCTATAGCATAAGATAGCTGACATCCTCACTGAGAATGGCTTAAAATGACTGATGATGTTTGGGGTTTGCATATTTTAATCATGATTTCCAAGCAGAAGTTATCATGCGGGTATTAGAGACCTGCAGTGTCACCAACCAGCTTATAGTCCCATTTCTCCAAGATGAGAATCTGCCTCAGAGTTATCCCATGCCCGATGTCACACCAGTTTCTGGAAACATCCTTGGGTAAAACTGAAGCTTTTGCCTAAAGTAGCCAGTTACAACCTTGCAGATTTTAGCAGCATCAAATTAGGATGACAAAATCTACAGCTCAGGCAAAGCCTGTTTTTTTTTTTTCCTCCTAGAAATGGAAAGAGGAACAGGCACCTGCCTCGCAGGGAAGCTGGGAATCTCCCATCTGTTCCCAGCTGCTGTTACGATTTGCTGTTCTTCCTCTGTGAAGAATTCAACTCGTTAATTTTTTAGTGTTCTCATTAAAGCATAGCCTAAGCAAAACCACCCTGCAGTATTTAAGGAAAATAAGAGCAATTCATTACAATGAATAGGCCAGGCTGCCATCCCTGTCCTGTGAACACCCATTCACTCCTGTCCTAGGCTGCCCAGTGAAGGGTTTGACATAGACAGCAACACCACGCTATGCACAAACCCATGAAAAATTAACAAAGCCTCTTCTTTTCCCAGTGGGATCATCTCACAGAGAAGGGACCAAACTGAAGAACTGGGAAAAGAAGCCAGTGACAGCAACCCTGGCACCAGCAAGGACAGCGAAGAAAAGACAATCATCAAACGGCTGTAAGTTTGTCTGCATCTTTTTGGCAGAACTGGGGAGAATAGGGCATACTTCATAACTCAGTGAATCCAGGGATGAATTCTGAACTTTGGCCGAGTTAGCTGGATATTGTTTTCTCCTCCTCTCCCTGTACAATTAAAACCCCATAGAGAAATACTTTCCTGCAGAAAAAGCACTCCACAGGAAGTCAACCTCCACTCAGAC